CTCTTCGTCATCGTCGTCGTCGGTGGCGGCGGCGTTTCGAAGGTTTGGGGGGGGTTGCTGTGGGGCTCTCGTCGCCGCAGCTGGACTCCGCTGGAGAAGGCCAGCCAGGGTAGAGCCCAGGGTGTTCCAGGGGCACAGTTTGCCCAGAGGTTGAGCGCCTCTGAAACCCTCAGGTCTGGGCGTCGCGAACAAACAAAAACACGATGCGGCCAATCTTTCACCGTTCTGGGCCTCTGGGAGCTGTTTCCCTGCCCTGGGATTGTCAAAAAGACGCCTGAACACTACATAGCATACATCATACATACGTACATGCATACATACATACATGCCTGCAAACAAACATACATATATGCATACCTAAATACATGCATACATGCATACTTAAAGCATGCATTCATACGTATATACATACATGTACACATACATACGTACATGCATGCATACATACAAACATGCATGCATGCAGTCATGCATACACACTTGCAATCATGCGTACAAACAAACATACGTATGCCTACGCATGTACATGTGGATGTGCATATGCACATGCATGCTCATATACATATGCATAGACAAGTCCCACCAGCCCTTTGGGCGTGAGTGGTTTAGCGAGCTCTCTCTGTTCTCAACCCCCTAACCCTCTATCTTCCCCTTCGGGGAAGGGTTTATCCCTCCCCCTACCCCCTCCCCTGGACCTGGAGAGGGAGTCCCGAGTGGTGGCAAGGGGCCTTTTTCGACGCCTGGGAGGGCCAAAAAACGACGACCCTCACGAGGATTCTGGCCCCGAGGGGGGGGGAGTTTGGTCCCTCAGCTCGTCTTTGAAGCAAAAAACATTGATGTTACTACGGTGTTGACACCATTTTGGTCTTCTGAGGGGGCCGCGCTCCTCTTCCTGCATACCAAAATCATTGAGTTTACGAAGGTTTTGGGCTCAGTTTGTCCTTCTCAGGGGGCAGCGCTCATTTGCGCTTCTGAGGAGGTCGCAAGAGGCCCCGAGATGGCCCCAAGAGGCCCCCAGGAGGCTCCCAAGAGGCCTCCAGGAGGCCCCCAAGAGGCCCCCAAGAGGCCCCAAGAGGTCCCCAAGAGGCTCCCAAGAGGCCCCCAAGAGGCCCCAAGAGGCTCCAAGAGGCCCTCAAGACGCCCCCAAGAGGCCCCCAAGAGGCCCCCAAGAGGCCCCAAGAGGCTCCAAGAGGCCCCCAACAGGCCCCACGAGGAGCCCGAACGACTCACACCAGGACGAGAGACCCCAACGACTCACACCACGAGGAGCCCGAACCACTCACACCACAAGGAAGGGCCCGAACGACTCACACCAGGACGAGGCGCCCGAACGACTCACACCACGAGGAGCCCGAACGACTCACACCACGACGCGGGCCCCGAACGACCCACACCACGAGGAGCCCGAACGAGTTACACCAGGAGGAAGGGACCGAACGACTCACACACAAGGAGGGGACTCACACCACGAGGAGCCCGAACGACTTACACACAACGAGGGACCCGAGGCACTCACACAAGGAAGGACGAGGCCCCCGACAGGCCCCCAAGAGGCCCCAAGAGACCCCCAAGAAGCCCCCAAGAGGCTTCCAAGAACCCCCAAGACGCCTCTCGAGGCCCCCAAGAGGCCCCCAAGAGACAACAAGGAGGCCCCCAAGAGGCCCCGAGAGCCTCCAAGAGGCCCCCAAAAGGCCCACGAGGAGGCCGAACGACTCACCCCAGGACGAGGGGCCCCAACGACTCACACCACGAGGAGCCCGAACGACTCACACACCAGGAGGGGCCCGAGCAACGCACACCAGGACGAGCGGCCCGAACTACTCACACCACGAGGAGCCCGAACGACTCACACGCAAGGAGGCGCCCGCACGACTCACACCAGGACGAGGGGCCCCAACGACTCACACCACGAGGAGCCCGAACGACTCACACACAAGGAGGGGCCCGAACGACGCACACCAGGACGAGGGGCCCGAACGACTCACACCACGAGGAGCCCGAACGACTCACACACAATGAAGGGCCCGAGGCACTCACACAAGGAAGGACGAGGCCCCCAAGAGGCCCCAAGAGACCCCCAAAACGTTCCCAAAAGGCCCCCAAGAGGCCCCCAAGAAGTCCCAAGACGCGCCAAGAGGCCCCCAAGAGGCCCCCACGAGACAGCCAAGAGGCCCCCAAGAGGCCCCGAGAGCCTCCAAGAGGCTTCCAAGAGGCCCCACGAGGAGACCGAACGACTCACCCCAGGACGAGGGGCCCCAACGACTCACACAACGAGGAGCCCAAACGACTCACACACAAGGAGGCGCCCCAACGACTCACACCAGGACGAGGGGCCCGAACACCTCCCACCACGAGGAGCCCGAACGACTCACACACAAGGAGGGGCCCGAACGACGCACACCAGGACGACGGGCCCGAATGACTCACACCACGAGGAGCCCGAACGACTCACACACGAGGAGGAGCCCGAACGACGCACCACGGACGAGGGGCCCGAACGACTCACACCACGAGAGCCCCCAACGACTCATACACAACGAGGGGCCCGAGGCACTCACACAAGGAAGGACGATGCCCCCAATAGGCCCCCAAGAGGCCCGAATAGGCCCCCAAGAGGCCCCCAAGAGGCCCCGCGAGGAGGCCGAACGACTCACCCCAGGACGAGGGGCCCCAACGACTCACACCACGAGGAGCCCGAACGACTCACACGGAAGGAGGGGCCCGAGCGACGCACACGCAAGGAGGCGCCCGAACGACTCACACCAGGGCGAGGGGCCCGAACGTTTCACACCACCAGGAGCCCGAACGACTCACACACGAGGAGGGGCCCGAACGACGCACACCAGGACGAGGGGCCCGAAGGACTCACCCTACGTGGAGCCCGAACGACTCACACACAATGAGGGGCCCGAGACACTCATACAAGGAAGGACGAGAACCCCAACAGGCCCGCAAGAGGCCCCCAAAAGGTCCCCAAGAAGCCCCTAGACGCCTCAAGGGGCCCCCAAGAGGCCCCACATGAGACCCCCAAGAGGCCCCCAAGAGGCCCCGAGAGCCTCCAAGAGGCCCCCAAGAGGCCCCACGAGGAGACCGAACGACTCACCCCAGGACGAGGGGCCCCAACGACGCACACCACGAGGAGCCCGAACGACTCACACACACACAAGGAGGGGCCCGAGCGACTCATACCAGGACGAGGTGCCTGAACGACTCACACCACGAAGTGCCCGAGCGACTCGCACCAGGACGAAGACCCTGAACCACTCACACCAGAACAAAGGCAATCACTACCATAGCCGGCATCGGAGGAGCCACCGAAGCCAAGGTAACAGGAACCGGCTAAGGAACCACAACCCCAGAAGAGCGAGATTCCAGGGACACGACTGAAACGAAACACACGGAGCAGAGGCGGAGGAGGAGGACTGTGAAGAGGACACACATGTTTTGGCATCGAGCGCTGCATCACAAGGTACTGCCACCAATCCACCAACATTGAGTCTAGTCACCAGCACCATCACTTGCCAGGATGCCACACACCCGCACACAGAACGGTAACCACTGATCATGGTAACCAGTACGAGAAAGCTCAAGTACGGTCTCTGCCATGATGCCATTCAAAATCCCCCAGCGAGATGTTTACTACATTAGCACTCACCTGACGCGCCACGGAAGCAGAGTAGCGGCACATCCACCATTGGATACATACCGATGCTCCAGCCATACATACAGAAAGGACGGACTCCATTGAGAAAACATCAACTGTTCAGTCTCACTGTACCCAGAGAGATTCTCTTATAGCAGCGTGACATCCATAGTGGTAAGCATGGGCCTCACCAGTACTGGAGGACAGACTATAAACTAAACGTACTCTTCGCACCAATGAACCAACACTGAGTACAATAACGAGCACTTTCACCCGAACAGGATAACAAACACCATCACAAAGTGCAGTATCCAGCACCCGAGAACCACAGTACGATCTTCAGCCGACTACAATACAAGTGCCACCAGCACGCTGTTCCCTATTGCAGAGCCTACGTGAAGCGTACGGGGTTCAGCTCAGTGTAGTACACGTTCCACCAGCAAGCTGTTTCCTACAGTACAAGCCACCTGAGGCGCCACGGAAAATGTGTAGCGGCACATCCACCATTGGATAGATGTCGACGCCGTAGCCATATACAGGAATCCCCGAGTCCATTGAGGCAACATCCCGTTTTCAGTCTCACTATACCAAGGGATTGCGTCGCCAGTAACACGTCTGGGCCGACGGCCTCCGCGCCGTACCTCATCGTCCCCAGGCTTTGTTCCACCATTCGGGAGTCGGTTGCAACTCGTCCAAGAACTTCCGGTCGTCGGCGGATATCGCTCCGTCGCTGCCTGGCCAGCGCTTCTCTCCGAAATGCACGGGGGTCAGCGGGCATTGGGCTTGGTGAATGCGGCAATGGCACTTGCACTTGCGCTTGCTCTTCTGCAGCGCTTTGCGCAGGTGGCGCACTCGTTCGTCGATGTCAGCAACGCACTCCTTGCACTGTAGCTTCTGGCGGTTGTCATGCTTGCGGTGGTCCAGTTGCTTTGGGTTGAATTTACGAGCCCCGAACCTGCAGGAACACCTCTGGCACATGTACGTCGCAAGGTCCGACGGGTCGAATCCTTGCGCACGGCACGCCTTACAGACTAACGTTGCGCCCCGAGAAGACGCGTGATGCTTGCGTTCAACCTTCGACCAGTACTTCAGCTCATATGCCGTTGTACACTTTCCGCACCGCAGCTTCGTCTGACAGTCCAAGCACACCAAACGGGCCTTCTCCAGCCTCTTCGCATCCTTCAGCAGTTGCTTGTCGAACGCGAGGCTGCCCAAGTGCCCCAAGCAATCTTCGCACTGGTGCTCGTCGATGTTGCCGGGCGCGAACCCTCGCTTTGCGCAGCCCGGGCACACGAGGTCTCTATCAGAATACCGATGATGCCTCATAATACTCGCGCCCCACACGCCTTCGTCAAAA